CACTGCTAGGTTTCTTTATGGTGAAATGGATGAGGCTAAAAAGAAATTAGCCAAGAATTTGGATGAAGATGAGCCTTCCTACAATGAGATTTGGATATAATTGATGCCAAGTGGGAGGAGCATCAGTTGCATCGCAAATTGCATGCAACTGCAAATTACTTGAATCCTTGTTTCAGATAGAGTCCCAATGTCTCTAAGCATCCGGATTAAATATGGATTGTACCGTTGCATGGAGAGACTCATTAAGGATAATGCATCCGACGATGAATGGGTTGCAAACCCAAATGATGACGAAGATGACGATAGGGACAATGTACCAATTGAAGTTGACTATGGAGTTGAAGATGCAGGCGTAAGTTCATCCTCAAGGAAGAGAAAAGCTATTCAAGTGGATTTGGATGATGGAGAGGTGGAGGGATAAAATTTGATCATATTTCATGAAACTATGACTTGTGGTTTCTCAGACTTTACGTTTTTATGACTTGGTAGTAATTTTATGCCTTTAATATTCTGATATTGGATTATGTTTTTAAGACTTGGTAGTAATTTTATAACTTGGTAGTAATTCTATGACTTTAATACTTTGATATTGGATCATGTTTTGTATGATATGAATTATGTTGGAACTTATTTGTTTACCGCCTTCAGACTTACGACTCAAACCCCCTCAAGGCTTACGCCTCGCCGTGCCTTGCCTCGTCTCGTGGTTCTGTACTTTAAAACCTTGCTCAAGCCCAAACAATTTGTCTTATTTTCTGATCATGAAGCTCTAAGTATATTAATGGCCAACATAAGCTAAATCCATGACATGCCAAATGGGTAGCGTTAATACAGTCGTACTTGTTCGTGTCCAAGTATAAGGTAGGTTCCTCTAATATGGTGGCAGATGCTCTATCTAGAAGACATGCTATGTTGTCTATTTTAGAAGCAAGGGTTTTTAGATTCTCTTTTACCAAGTTGTATAAGGATGATCCATGTTTTGCTATTGTCCTACAATCTAACCAAATCTAGCCAAGGGACCTTACATGTCTCAAGAGGGGTTCCTCTTCAAAAATGGCAGATTATGCATTCATAAAAGCTCAATTCGAGATCTGTTGATAAGAGAAGCTCATGGAGGGGGGTTGGCAGGTCATTTTGGGAGCACCAAGACCTTGAATATCTTAAATAACATTTTTGTTGGCCTTCCATGAACAAGGATGTGCAAACTTTGATTGCTAGGTATTCTACTTGCCATCAAGCCAAATTTGCCTCCAATCAAGGTTTGTATGCCCCACTTCCGGTCCAAATCATCCTTGGAAAGATCTGAGCATGGATTTTCATTATGGCGTTGCCAAGGAACAAAGAGAGTGGTGGTAGTTGATAGATTCTCAAAGATGGCACGTCTTTAAAGAAATTGTTCGTCTGTATGGAATTCCTCGAACAAGGATATAAAGCTCTTCATCAATTACTAAAGACTGGGTACAAGATTCCTTTGTAGTACTTCACATCATGCACAAACCAATGGAGAAACTGAAGTGACTAATAGGACAATTGGAATGCTCCTTAGAGCTCTAGTCAAGAAAACAATAAAGTATTGGATCTGAAGCTTCCTCATGTTGAGTTTGCTTTCAATAGAGTTCCTAATTACTCCACCGAGAAGAGTCCATTTGAAGTTTGTTGTGGTGTTAATCCCCTCACTCCCATTGATCTGGTTCCTCTTGGATTAAGTCGAATGAAAGTTCTAATGCTAAGACTAAGGCAAAGGAGATCAAGAAGATGTATAAGCAAGTCAAGGCTAGAATTGAGAAGGCAAATGAAGCATACAAGACCAGAGCTAACAAACAACATAAGCTCCTTGTGACAAGGTGTGGGTGAATCCACGAAAAAAGAGGTTTCCCTCCAGAAGGAGAAACAAGTTGATGCCGACAGTTGAAGGTCCATTTAGGGTGTTAGAACGATTTGGAGATAATGCTTAGTACTTTTAATGTTGGAGATTTAATCCCCTCAAAGACCTGATTATGAACTCAAATCAAGTAATGGCCATTCAACCGGTTGTTAGCCATTTTAAAGAATTGTTTGATGACAAAGAGGGCAATGGTTTCACCTTGCTGTACATCTGGCCTACGGCTATCTTACCTTACTTTACTTGCTTTCAATAAAGCATCAGTCTATGGAGCCATTAGATTTTGAACCTTCAAATGTTGGAGCCCTCAGGTGTTGGGGCCATCAGATGTTGAGTCATTAAATGTTGAACCATCAGTTGTTCAACGCATCAAATGTTGAACCATCGGATGTTAAACCTGTCAAATGTTGAGCCATCAGTTGTTGGATACCCTTTTTCTCCACGTTTTCAACTGATTATGTAATACGATTCCATGGTCCCCACGAATGCTTTTTACATGGTAGACATGACCAACTTTTCTTTTAGGAGAGCTGAAAATGTAAGTGCCCATGATGTTTTGTCCTTTCGCTTCCTTTTATTGTTTGCCACCTTTTGTACTTTGGGAACAAATCCCCTTTTTGGGAACCTTGCGCTATTTTTGTCTAGGGTTTTTTTACCTTCTCTCCTAGATATAGAATAGAAGTTTTCCTTCTATAATAGTCAGTTGATGATGAATATGAAAATGAATGGAGTTTCCCTATTTGCTTAAATCTTTCTTATCCTTCAAAGATATTTGATCTTGGTGGATTTAAGATTTCCCTTTATCTTTGATCTTGGTGGATAAATTTCCTTTATAGATTAGAGTGGTGGGTTCTCATCTAAGTCATAAGTGTTCCTTTATCTTTGGTTGTGGTGGCTCGGTCATTTGTGGTTCCAACCCTTCTCCTTATTTATCCGTACTTGGAGTGGTTTTGGGATGGATATCATATCACCCCTCCCCTCTTTTTCTTCCCCTCCATTTTACGGATCTTCACAAATATTCAATTTGATTCAAACTATATGACAATATCCATCCCGAGGAAGTAGAAATGCAATCGATTTTTGTCTTCTTGAAGAGTGGGGTTTATGTTTTAAATATAAATATATAAAATAATAATGTATTATATTTATACATACTTGTGTATATACACTATAAGTAATGATATATATTATAATAATAACATATATTATATTATAATATAATAATAAAATATTATATATATATATATATATGAAATTCTTATAGAACGATAAAAAAATGATAAAAAGACCTAAAGGTCCCTAAGCTAATGGACTTTCCAACAAAAGAAAGTCAGGGGGACCAATAGTGAAACATATTGGCAACCACAATGACCAAAATGTAATTAGTTCAAATAGGAAGTAGAGTTGAAAGTGAGTGGCAACCACAGGCTCCAAAAATGTATTTTACTCGACAATTAATAAAGACATGCACTGAAACATGTTGTATCTCTCCATATAATAATAAATAGCTTCTTTTGGGCTTAGCGCAAGTTGTATCAAAAAGAGAAGGGAATTAGAGGGGGGGACAAACTTTTAAAAATGAGTAGAAATGCTTTAGTGTACTACAACAACATTCTTTGTTGGCTAGCAACAAGAAAATAAATTTGGATTGTATCCTCACTTATTTGAATTATCTCATTCCATATGCTCGTCGATTTTATCTTACTAAACCATATACCCCAAAGTAACAGTACTACTTTATTCATAACTATCATACTTGGATGGCAAGCCCAACTACTAAATTCCCATAGAAAAAATATGCCAAAACCAAAGCATTTGCAGTAAAAAGGTTTGCTTGCATGGTTTTGACATCCACACCTCCCCTTTCTAATATAATGTGGTTTGGTATGGTTCCAAAAAATTCATGCTTATTCACTTAATTTCTAAAATTTCCAACAAAATCAATTATGCGAGTTCGCTTTATTTGAAAAACATAATTTTAAGCCATCAACTCATCTAGAGAGGGAATACTATCTTGTTTTAACTACCATACTCGACAACATGTCCAATAACCCAATTATGAAACTATCCTACTACAAAGATAATCACAAGTTGAGCTTGTAGTTCTTTGGTACATCAGAAAAACTTACTTGGAATGCACATATAAACTGGATGTACGCTGAAGGATGCATAGATTACACACCTATACACAGATAACTTTTTATAAGAGCTAGTGTCCAGACCAACGCTCTTACGGTGGATGCCAATGTAGGTTGGCGTTGCACAACTTTATGCATCTTAATAGACCTACTTCTGTACTTATCAACAGTAACAAAGCCGAATATTATGACAAAACTATCAGCAATGAGCTTAAACTGTGTTATTAAGTCTATTACTCACTAACTTCATTTCAATAAACTAATAGAAAGTAGAAACCGAATATTGAAGAAAGAGAAAAGGCACATGAGTAATGTCGCAAACTATAAATAGTTTCTCTGCAAATACAATCTCAATTCTGAATGGAAACATAATACAGCAATAAGTTACCATCAAGCATGCATCTTGAATGGCATTAGGCCTGCCTCCTAGGTGGATCAACCTTGGAGGTCGCTGGATTAGATCTCCACATCTTCCATGCCAATTCAAGAACTATAGCATTGAGTTGATTATATGTAAGGTGTGTCAAGTGTATAAGCATGTCAAGCACATAGTCAGGTATTTATAGATTCATAAAGCACCAAAAGAACCAAGTGTTCATAAACAAAATCCCTAAAAACCAAAAGATGTACTAGTGGAAACATCTTGAACAGAGACAAACAAGCACAAAACAACTGAGCACGTCACAACCATGGAGAAATAAAGCCACCTGCTACTTTTATGGCCAAAAATACCGAATAAAATCATTTGGAACTTAATGCAGGACAACTTTGGCTATATACGATGAGTATTTTTCTAAAATAGTGATTTAAAAACATTAAGGTAGATAACACAGCCAACTATCATTGCTGAAAACTAGAATTCAGTCACTCAGGAGTGACAACAGAAGTGAACTTCTATGAATCTAGCTCCTGCATGCATAAGGATCATTCACCAAAACATAAACTTGCCTTAAAAATAAGTGTAGATATACATCCTTTACCTTTACTTTCAATATCTCTCTCCAAATCTCCAAACCGACGAACTGCACCTTCACAGTTGTTTAAGGCGGTATCTTCAGTAGCATTCTCATCATGTACCAAATGGAAAGCAGTCATTATCTTTTCTGGGGTACCCCCAATAGCCAATTTCTGAATTCCAACAATGTAAACAAATTTCAAGTAACCAATATTAAAATCAAATGAAGCCAAAGAGATGCAACAATAGGTCAAAATCAAAGCAAACCCCATACTCACAAGTCTCAATGAGTTAGCATCCCTCTTCACTATCTTGATGGGGTTAGAGCTCTTTCCATTGCTAGCCAACTGAGGGAGAGGACTTTTACCAAGCATTTCATCTTTCAAGTTCTGACCCCGAGATCCAAAGACCCTCCTTTCATCCCATATGCCAACCTTTCAAAGTAATGGAACCAGCAACCAGTCAAATCGCTTAACAGTTGTGCAAAATTGTTGTAAAATAACAGGACAGCAAAGACAATACATTATTATGGACATATGGTAACGCCATTATGAGTACATATCAGACCGAAAAGGGTCAAGAAACATAAAACCATAAAAATATCCTGTGCATCTAAAACACTCCTCAAGTTGCAGCATAAATATAGAAAACCCCCAACATGCAACAATTAGGATCAATCTGAAACCTGCGGAGGCCTCAGTCAAGATATCTGGATCCGCAACCAAACCTGAACGGAAAAAGGTTCACACGTTCATGACCATTTCTTTCACAAACACATTGGCATGTTTGGTATGCTAATGAAACACCTATTCTTGGGATGAGCATTAGGCATTACTTGGATGAGGTATCTCCATTAAACCAGATGAAGCCTAGCTCCTAAACAAATCGCATAACTGAAGTCAACTAACATGTTGTACGACACATGATATTTATCTTTGCACTAGAGATAGAAACATTGCTTCTTACTTTTTCAAGACACAACATTTCAGCAAAGAAGACAATATCAGGTTATCGATCCGTTGTACGCACAACTTGTGTGAAAAGAAATAACCTGCAAACCAAGGATGCCCAGGACAGCAACAATATGTGCCCTTGAGATACTTCAAGCTCTGCAACAGAACCTACTGGGCTCCTAGCAACTAGTGCAAGGGGCACACTTGCCAAAAAAAAAAAAAAAGTGACTTCAAGATAGTTTAGCTTCTCAACGAACTTACAAAAATCTTGATACCAAATAATAATTGATACCATAGGTAAACTCTACAGCACGCCTCTCTATCAAAAAGTAAAAAACATTTGTAACCATTGTACCCGCCTTTAGCTTTCAAAAAAATCATTGTAATTGTTGGAAAAACCTTCAACATTTCCAACAATTGTGCTTAAAGTTAGGCTTGAAAAAAACCATTGTAGTTATAAAGCATGGGCTAAAATGTTCAAGCTTTACAAGTATAATGTTCTCTTAGGATTTTTTTACAAGTAGAATCATTATTTTGGAAGCTAAGCCAAGTCCAATTGTTACAATATTTTCCACTAAAATATCAATGACGTACTTCTTCTTTTTCGACCAATATCAAGGATGTACTTTCTCAAACAAGAAATATGCCTTTGTGGGATCTCGACACCTTAGCCACTAAAACTCCTAATTCCATTTCTCGAAAACACTCCAAATGAAGAACTTATATGTTGCAAACCTACATAGAGATTGTCAATAATAACAAGATTATGAAATGTGCTATTGATTTCAAGATCATGAATGGTGCATGAGCGATTGCAAATACATGCATAAGCCATGTTGTTATAAAGATAGGTCTTTGGTATTTCCAACTATCACCTTTAGCCACTAACCACACCTACAACTAAGCAAAGAAAGTGTACACCTACTTACACCCAATGGGATCCTCGTGAAAAGAAAGATCAACATAGTTATGAGTGTCATTTCTATTGGGAGTGAGATTGGAACTTTGGGTTGTTTGTTTACCTCTTAATAGTTCCATTGAAGACAGCCTCTGAATCATTAAGAGGTGAATCTTGTTTGGCAAAAAAAAAAGTCTGCCTCTTAATGGTTCTAAAACCCTCTATATGATTTTGTATCATGGGCCTCTCTTAATCATTCAGCGCCCTAATTTCGTTGTAAATAATTACCAAATAATTATACTTCATTTTGCACTATATCATGAGAGTATCTTAATCATTCTGCACCAAACCATTCATAAACTGCCAAACAGCCCCTTTTTCATACATGCCTTTGTGTTCATATGAACCAATAAAACTTAATTAAGAACTAACCAGACCTTCGAATAAGTAAAAATTGTGTACACCTACTTAAACCCAATGAGATCCTTATCAGTGGATCTTCCACACAATCACAAATTTCAATTTTCTAGAGAGTGAGCTGACGACAGCCATGCACCAACTGTGTCCGCGTTCCCGGCCCAGACTCCTACGGGAGGCAGCAGTGGGGAATTTTCCGCAATGGGCGAAAGCAAAAGAAAATAGAAATGACTAGTCTTAGAATATAGTTGAACCAAAACACCTATTTTTTTGAGTGATCATATGAGAACTTGTGATATTTACTCCATGTCCTTTGTGTCTTATGAGCCCAAAAACATAAATTTTGAAGGGATAAAAGACCACCGGAAGCATGTAAGAAATAGGGTAACCCAAAGACCCGGTAGGTTTACAAACAGTCAAATACAAATGTAACACCTGCCCAAGTGAATATTTGGAGTCTCCAATCCATAATCAACATGCTAGTATTAAAATGTTTTTCTTTGGAGTGTAAACCACATTGATTTGTAAAGGGTCCAAAAGATGGCAAGCAACTTCAACAAGAGTGTGGTTTCTCTATGGAAGTTTGGTGTACTATCAAGAGGGATGCAGGTACGAATGGGATTGCAGATTCGTGGGATGACATATTGTTGGGAATATCAAGTGGACAAGGAGTGCATTGGTATGTCATGCATAAATTATGCCTTGCGGCTACTGTCTACTATGTCTAGCAAGAGAGAAATAAGAGTTTATTTGCCAATCAGAGACGCATTGCATCTCAGCTTGCTAAAGAGATTAGAGGTGTGGTCTTTGCAAGATTGGCTTGGAGGAACAGATGTTGAGTGACTATGAAGACCATTGATGGAGGAACAGATGTTGAGTGACTACGAAGATCATTGATGGAGGCCAACAATAAGATGTTTGGTTTGAGGATTCATCTTCGGCTTTGGAGTATTTTATGGAGACTAATATCGAGCATTTCGTTTATTATGTCTCGTTACTCTGTCTCTTTGTGTCTTTTTTGGTTGATTGTTGCTTGGTACCAAGCTTTGTGCTTTGTTGTAGCTTTTCTTGGGGGTCCGTTTTTAACTCTTGTAACCTTTATTTTCCATCTTTTACAATATTGCCAGAAGAAATCCTTTCCAAAAAAAAAAAAGGAACTTCAATAATAGTAGAAGAAAAAAGAAATCAATGTACTCCGCCTAAGTCATGAAGGAAGGTCAAAATATACAAGAAAAAAGGTAACAAGACTTGCAGAATGTAACAACTACAAAAAAAGAGGTATGGTCATAGACTAAGATATATAATAGCCTACGAGAACACACCAACTAGTGTATGGTCAAGTGCGGTAAGCCAAATTATGAAAAGCATTAAGGGAAAAAATGCAGACAAAAAACTTAATAATGAAATGGATGATATAGAGGAATAAGAAATGATAAGGAATTCCCCCCATTATAAAAGAAAATGGCATGCAAATAATCAATTAAAATGGTTGTATGAACTACATTCCTTCAAAACTTGAGTAGTGAAATATTATGAATCAGATATTGTACATGTTACCTCTAATAAATATCAAATTTAAGTTCAACACCACCATTCGATTGAGGTGTATATGCTCAAGATGGCCCATACAAAATATACTTGCTATGCAAAAAACTGGAAAATCAAGTGAGAAATTTATCCTTTGTTATGCATGTCAAAGATCAACATAAGTATTAAACTAGTTTTAACTTGATTACAAAAAATTGAGCCATTCAAACAAGGCTTCATGTGAGAAAATTATCCTATGTTTTGTGTTTTCTATTCTCAATTTTTTTGTGATGCAACAGAGTTGTGTTTTTATTTGACAACATGATGAGAATTTTTCTGCAATTCTATTATTTATTTTTCATTAGTAGATGAAAATTTAGAATAGGCAAAAGTCCCTCATCTGACTACTTTGACTTCTCGAAAAAAGGTAAAAAACCTCATGAAATCACATGTCAGGCTTTCACAAAATTCTAAGCACATCAAAAAATTTCAAATCACTAAACAATCAACATGCAACAATTAGGTCCATTTTAAAAGACATGTCAAAGCTAGTCGTCGGTAGAGTTGGACCCATTAAATTTATCAGATGATGCCATGATGATCAAAAGGGTGAAAGGTAATCATTATAGCTATGTTGGTTGGTTTCTTGCATTTGCAAGGAAGGGTCACACGTTCGACCCTTCTCATAGCCGCTTTCCACCAATTTTTTAGAACAGCAAAAGCTACAAAAACCAAAATTAAAAGCGAAAATGTCGGGATTCAAACCTCCCACCCTTTCGAACAAAAACCTTAATCCGATGACCAAGACCAACTCAACCATGACAAACTTTTGTCGTTAGTTTAGTTTTAAGAAATATAGGGGAACACAATGAAACATTATTGTGGCATCCTTAAGGAACGTAATTTTTTTTCATCAGGAGAGAATCATAAAGTGGTGGCACAGGCCACCATATGCCCCAACATACATCCCCTCCCCAGTTGTTGGTTTCAAAATACTGTCTCTTGTGTGGTTTGTCACAACAACAAAGGAAGGCCAAATAAAAGAAAACCTTTGAACTCTATCTAACCCACAAGAACAAGAGTTGAATTATCGATGCAAAGTTGAAGTCAGCCAAAGTGATTTGCAAGTTGACTTTTTTTTTCACTTCAATGTTAAACCCATCTCTCATGCTTCACGCATGTTTTGTCTCAAGGTTAGCACATCCATCCGACAACCTTAACCATGTCAATTCAACATCAATTGCTCATCTGGGCCAGATTATTAAGACGAACTAGGCAAGAATAAGCAAATGGAGCCTCACCACAAAGTTACCATGAGTGGAACAAAGGCGTTATAGCACCAAAATAGTTAACAAATACTTCACATATATGTCAATACTCTAATAACAATCCACAGATGAAAAACCAATATCAAACTTATACATATTCCTATATTAAAGAAGATTAAACATACTAAAAGCCATAAACATGAGATACATTGAAGTATCAAACCAACAAAGTGATGACAGAGAAGAATGTGTTGATCCCAACACATAGTTATATTACATTAGCTATGTGTTTGTCCTTTCATGTGTATTTCTCTATTTATCCTTCGCTGATCCATACTAAACAATACAAATATTTACACTTTTTTCAATATTCTTTCATAGGATTAAAAGTCCAATCACATGTTCCCTTCAATGTGTGTTGCCCTGCAGGTTATGGCACTATAGTAAAAGTTGATATGAAAGATATATAAAACTGACATTAAGATGTATTATATAAAGAAGAGGGCAAGTCATGAGGTTTGCTTTGGAAAGAAGACATCGTGCATTAATTAAAAGGCTTGTACTATTATCTTCCGGATAATGCTATCTACTGAGATTAAAATGTTTGGACAACTTTCTGTTAGTATAAAAAGGTCAAGGAGTTGGTATTTTTTAGGGGAGTTATGAGAGTAATTTTTAGGGGAGTTATGAGAGTAATTTTTAGATGAGTTCTTAGTCTTAGTTTTACATTTAGTAAAGTAGTTTTAGTAGTAGATTTTGAACACTTATATTTCAGTCTTGTAATTAACTTTTGTAGTTGTTAACTTATTGCATTTTCTTTTCTCTTTTCATCTTTTTTTGTTTTCATATTTTGTTGACGTCAAGAGGGCAAAACAGAGCGTCGCCAATGCTGCAGCATTAAGTGGTGGTCCAATACTTTAAAGAATAGAGGGAAGGCCCCCCAGTGAACACCCAAAAACCATGCATGGGGGGAGATCTTTTTATGGTTTTTTAGTTGTGCCTCATTTGGTGCCCCATCAACCACCAAAACCCCCAACCAAAAAAAAGAGCCGCCACTCTTAATGTTGTTATTTTGTTATTAATTTTGTTGGATTACGTACAAATATTATATGAAAAGGGATATGTTAACATTTGTTAAAGATTAGCTATGTGCAACATAGATTTTATTACAAATTAGTTTTGTGGTTTATTCTTTTAGCCATCTGGTGGTTCACTATGAATCGTCCCAATTCTGTTATTCGGTTTAACCGAAATAGTAAAAAATAACTGAAATTTGAATGGAATGTTATATTTATTCGGTTAACCGATCTGTTTTAGTTCGTTTGAGTTATTTCGTTTCAAAATATTTTAATATTTTACATGTGCCCCCAGTGACCAAAGTTTTTGGATCTGAAACTAGCAGCATTGCTTCCTAGACCTTAGTTATGTCTTTAATTTCCTTTACTTTTCGGCAATCTTAGGTTAGGCTAATTTTTTAGTGGTGAGTGTGTGAGAACCGAGTAGAAACCAAGACACTGTAAGGTGTCATCTTTCAATACCATATTCATTTTGTTCAATTAAGGTTTGTAATGATAATAATAACACCTGGACATGATCACTCATCCAAATGTTTGTTGTTGAAATTGGGGAACGAGAACTATAACGAAACCAAGTTGAGTAATGCAATTCTAAGCTCGGAAAAATTCATCAAAGTAGCAACGAAATTTGTACTTGTTTTGCCTTACTTTAAGAGATTATGATTGTGCCATGTCTGATGCTATATCTACGTAGAAATATGAGAACACGCATTTGGATGACAGCCTCTGAAAACATGGAAAAGTGTCTATAAGACTATAACCTACTAGCACGAGTGATGTTGTATGATGCTACAGTATAATACGCACTTCATTGTTTTCCGTTGAACTTAAGAGGAACCTTAGCCCCATGTTATATATTTACTTTCTATTTCTGAAGTTAAAACCCAAAAATCAATCTTAGACATTGCCTATGAAGTTGGCTTTTCACCTTGGTATCTCACGACTATTAAAACCTATCCTTTTATACGATACTTGGTTTAACCAATACTCTAGTACAAGAGAGTGGATACTTGTGCAATCCTAATACTGATTTTTGTGCTTATACAAACGTTTATGAGATTTTCGGATCTCATGCACATCACCCTGCTTCTCTTTATCATGACAGGATCTATTTGTAATTCAACCATGGACCAATAATTGAGGGAACAAGACTTGTACTTACAAAAATTAAAATCCAAGAAGCGCATGAAATTTGTCGTCGACAAACATTGGCGTGATGATGAATTCCATGTGGGAGACCATGTTAATCTAAAGTTACGACCTTACAAGCAAACTTCTCTAGTTATACATCCAAATTCTAAGCTCTCACCACGTTACCATGAACCTTTACCGATAGAGAAACGCATCGGCCTTATCGCCTACTAGTTGCAACTTAGGTTATTGTTTGTGGCGTTCCCACAGTATCTCATCTACTCATTGGTCTAATCATTGGTGGAACCGCAAGAGGTCAAGGCAGTCCATTATCAGGAAGAAGGTTCTTCCCTGGAAGTCCTAGTCGGCTCAAAAGGCTTGCCTTCCTTTAAGGATACAAGGAACGAGTATCCATCACCAGCGAGCAATTTCCATAATTCCACCTCGAGGAGAAGGCATCTCAAACAGCCGAAAGTATTGATACATTACCCACACAAACAATTATCCACACTTACTATGGATCGAAACATATCCATATTCAATGATATATATTCAGAATGTAAATAGATATGATACTAATCATACATTCAATCAGTTTAACATCTCCGTATATATATATATATATATATTCAAATACGTGTTTGTCTATTTATTTATCCATCAATAATCAATAGTATTTACTAAATAATATAATAAAGTGCATGTTTGGTCCTTGTGGTTTACCCAAAATCATACGGTGCGTCCCTAAAATGAAATAATTATAAAAAAATATCCCAGCTTCTTATATTTTCTCATGACCTGGATCCTTAGTTCCATATTTTGTAAAGCCATCGGTCCCTACTCTAACTCCCACTAACTCAAGGGTTGTTTGGTGTTTTTACCATTTTTTTGTCTTTTTCCCTTTCATTAAATAAGTAAGAATATTAATATTATATACACACACCATCATCAACCAACACCACCACCCAATTCAAACACAAATCAACAACATTTTTGTATAAATTCATTCCAAATAAATGTATGATACAAACCCTAAAACCAAAACCTTATCAAACCCTAAAATCAAAAACCCAAATAAATTGTAAATTAAAATAGTAAATCAATTGTCGAATCTAAATCTTCATTCTGATGGTGGATAAACACATAACACACACCACCAACTCGTCTCGATCTTCAAAAATGGTGAAGGATTGCCAATGCCACCAACCCATCTCAATCTCTTGAAATGGTGAAGGATTTCTTGCTATCAATCTCTAGAAATGTAACACATCTCAATCTTTAAAATTTGAAGCCTTATCCCATCTTTATCTCCAATGTTCCGATGGAAGAGATCTTGATATCCATAAGTTGTTCTAGGGTTTCGAAGAGGACGACGGAGGAAATGCATACCCTTTACTCTCGATCTTCAGATGTTGTCTATATCTCGATCTCTAGATGATGTTGTCTCGATATGCACGGGTTATCTCCATGTTTCCTATAGATCTCCAAAAATTTATATATATATATATATATATATATTGTTTATTTTACTAGAAAATGAGTTAGTTATAAAATGACCAAACTATCCCCGAGATAACAGATTCTTTTCAATAGAGTTGGAGGCAGGACCCAAGGTGAGAGAAAATGAAAATCACCAGATGTTTTCCATAATTGTTTCATTTTAGGGATGCAAAGTGTGATTATGGGTAAACCACATGGACCAAACATGTAATTTACTGTAAATAATATTTTTTTTATCCAATCCAAATTTAGTTGATATGTAATTTATTTTCATATTATAATGTGACAATTCATTTCTTCTTACTTTCTTTTGGTTATTAAGTTCTTAGTTTCTATGATTAGATTGATTATTTCTAACTTCCAAAGTTTACCTTAAGCATTATTTGGTTTTAAGTATAGTTTGGTTTTTAATAAAATATTTGATCTACTATTTAATTCTCTTCATTCACTATTTTTTAAGATAAAAGTATCCAAATACATTATCAAACACAGGTCTTAGAATAATAAGGAACATATACAAATATATATATGATTCCATTTACCATCCACTAGATACAATATGAATGTCATGTTTGAATATCCATCACAATGTTGCATATACAAATTCAAATATCAAATTTATTAATCAAATGAAGAAAAGGAAAATGTGCATCCAATTTGTTCAGCATCCATTTACAATCCTATGTGTGCATGCTATTACAAATGTATCACACTGAATGTACTAGCAACATGCCAATAGAGTACAAGAAAGGGGAAGGGGAATGGTGTATTTATTTTCCACTTCGATGCTAATACACACATTAGCATGTCCACCTTGCAAGAGGTTATTCTTGTTCTCGTACAGCAATTTATACATGCATACCACAAGGCTAAAAGTATACTTTGCATATATTCAAGACTTGTATTGCGAGAAGAATCAGGCCATCAAAAGGGTAATGTATTGTATAGGGAAAAGATGATAAAAATATGTGTAAAAAAGCCCCAGCTCATACTTGATAATTAAATCCAAAAGTGTAAAGAAAAGTAAATAGAAGATAAGAATGTAGATTCATAAATATGTGTTGGCATATTTAGATCTGACCTCTACATAAGGAAATATATATATATAGTGTATATTATACCTCTGCAACAATTCATTGGTGCAATTGAAAGGAAAAAAGAAAATATAGATAAACTATTAAAAGAAATTACCAGTCTTGATGCTGCTTTCTTTCCATTTTCATCACCATGTTCATGAACATGCTTAAGGGTTGAAGGCATGACCTTCCAGAACTCATTGACAAACTCATTGCCCTTCCGCCTACTATTCTGCAAAATGTCATTGGCCAGGTACAGAAAAGAAACATGTTGCTCTCGCTGAGCAGATTTGAATGATTTATGCCATATTTCAACAATCTGTCTGGCTTTCTTCCTCTGTGAAATACACAATCGAGATAATGCTAATTCAACATTAAGGAAAACCATAGACGCAAAGGACACAAGCCTAATAGATACATGCACCTTTATGTGGCATACCTCAAACAGAGTTGTACTTCATGTTATACTTTCCCTATGTTTAGTGGTATTGACAAATGGAGCATGAAAGATAGCAGAAAAAAGAAGGCCATGACATTGATATTCCACTGCGTACCACATCCCACACAGCTCAGAAAAATGAGAATCATAAAACCATTATTAGGAGATACCAACAGTGATGACCTACAATTGCTTCACATAATACTATATCATATATACAATCATTCATCTTCAGAAAATGTGCAAGACATTTGCAAACATCAGACTTTCCCCTTCAGATCTTGAGAAACTTGTTAAAGATAGATATTTGACTGAAGGCAAACAAAACCTAGCCATTCCAGCAACATGATAAAGACGAATTAGAAGATCAGTAAACCCATTTCAAATTTTTCATGACAGTACAAAAGAAAAAATTGTGGACAAATAGTTTATTTAAATCTTCCCTTGGTTGAAATCAATAGCATCAGAATTTTTTAAGTTAAGGCATTAAATATTACAGTTGGCTGGACCTTAGCAAAATGCATGAAAAGCATAAAGATCAAAAGGGTCGGTGCACGCACCTCCTATATTCATGAGGTCATCGAAAAACATGACAACTCAACACTTTGGTTTCAAATCCAAATACTCAACATTGTCAAACATATATCGTATAATGGCAAACACTGATATTAATGCCCAAGTACACATGAGTATAGCGTTATCACATTGAATTCTTGTATTTGTATAGAGAGAATAATGTAGGGCAAACCAAATCAAGGACTTGAGTTTAAATCCATGAAGAAAAGTAAAAACAACAAAGATTTAGGGTCTTTACAAAGTGAGAAGTGAAGTAAATCTTAGAGAATAGTAATCAACTTCAAGACCAAAAAGTTGAAGTCTTGAAGATATTGGTAAAGAAAGCTGGAACAATGGTTACTACTTTGGTATGACTTATGTCTTCCACTTAAGACAACCAGACTACACAGCACAGATGTTGAATCCATAGTCTGGATCAAAATTGAACTTAGATTCCAAAAATGATGTTCAAATTTGTAAACACCAATGTCCTAAATGGTACAAGGCGTGGCCTAGCGGCTAGGTCAAGCCAGCCTTAGAAACCACCGCGGATTTTTCACGGCATAGCATAAGGTAGCAAGCGTGTATGTATATATAATATATATACATTTATGTTTCTGCTGTTACCCAACGATATTGAACAATTTAAATTAATATTAAAAAGAAAATATTATATTGATGTATAAAGCTTACAAAGAGTATAAAACTTGAATTAAAAAAAACACGCCATGGAGTGCCTCGGTGGCACAACACCTTAAACAGCCAACATGGGTGCTAATGGGGCATGAATGTTGCACCTTGTCACCATTGCATGCTTTTTAGAATGCTAGTATACCCAGATGAATCTATTGTATGCAGATTAAAGAAATTAAAATAATCTAATTGTTACACGTTTATGATTGGCTTAATCTGGACATCCAACTATAACTACAGTCCATGCATTCTTCTCTTAGGAAAAGCATCTCTCTACTCGGCATAGGAGTGCATGGTTTGGATAGAACAACTTCCGTTCCTATAAAATACAACTAGTGATGATGTATCTGACCAAATGATGATCAACTAAATTACTAGCCATCAAATGTATGTCTTTGAATTACAAAGAATCATAAAGGGTTCTTTCTTGCCAAAAGGATACACTCTATACTTTGTTGAGAACTGTTGAGTTTAAACAACTTGTCGGCCAACATTTGTCCATCAAAAACATCATCACTCATCCTGATAGCTGTGTAACTAGATTCAAGAATCCTGCAAATCACAAAAGATTATGTGTTAATTCAAGAAACACAAACAGACAACATTGAAACAAATACAAAGCATTGGTCATCCTGTCAAACCCAGATAAGAAGAAACACGAGGATTTGTTAATTGTCACTGTTGCAGATGTTAAGTCATACTTGGTTTTCAGCTTCTCTGATATGAAATTGGTATTCAACAATGCAAAATCGAATGCGATTGAAAAAGACAGAAGGATTTCTAGCATTTGAAGGCCAATACTCTCCCTAAGCCAACTTCTGTTATTTATACTAGCTAGCAACAGAAAGTAAAATACCCCACTATTACAAACCTCTGCATACCTACATATAATCCCTTTACCACAGCCATATTGACTACTTTCCAGGACACAACAATACCCGGCGCACAACTCTCACCTTGTCCTCAAAGTGGAAAGAAATAAATAAGAAATTGATTCGGATTCATTACATTATCGACCCAATAAGCTATAATTGAAGTAAACCTTTCATATCTAGCTTCAAAAAACCACTGTAGATGAGAAACCAAAACCTCCATTCCCTGGAGCTATATCTTTACCCACTTAGAAATCCCCTGCCCTCAGATTAAAAGCAGATATACAATTTTAGGTCAAAAACTCAAAAGAGAACAGTAAGCCAAGTAACAAACTAACAACAATCAAATCAATAACTAAAAATTGATACAAATTACAAAAGACAAACAAACCAAATCAGATTAGGTCAAATAGGCAAATATAAAATTTAGGGCATATATACGATTTTTGAGTTAGGGTTTCGGGACAAAACCTGATTAAGAGAGCTGAGGCTGAGTCAGAGAGCCGAGGGACCGAGAGAGACAAGCAGGGGAGGGGAGTGGGGAAGAAGTCCGGCGCCGGCGAGTCGGAGTTCAGAGTCGAGATGGAGTGCGAGACGCTGCTGGCTGCACCTTGGAGAAGAGAAACAAACAGAAAGATTCAATTTTAAAATATATAATAGGCGTCTAGTTTTAAGATTCAATTTGGTCCCTAGATTTTGCAGATGTTCAAAAGCAACTAATAAATCCAGTTTCAATCAAATAACGATAAACACTGAATTTCAAGCAAGGTTAGGATAACCCAACAAGTTATTGAAGCTCCATACCAGGAAAATCAATGTAAGAATGATTTTCGGAAGAGAAGACATGGTTAATACGAACCAAAAGAAAAAAGTATATATTATATTCTTACATTTTTCAGAGAAAAACAGACGGTAGATAATGTGTAACAACCAAAAATAACAAACTCTACCCGATGATGACATATGTTCTTTATCAGATCTTCCACAAGGTTTATTTAGGCACCTAAATGTGTTGATTTAGCCACGTCACCCAGGTTACTCGTATCAGTACCTTCTTGAAAATGATCCTTGTCCCCAATGATCAAATGTCGGATAGGCCCTGTCCATAGACACTACGTCTTCCCAACTCCCAAATGGCATCTTCAACCGGACAATCTTTCCATTGAACTAGCCATTCAATGAATGGTCTATTCTATCTTTTGATAGTTCTTTTACTAATCATTTGGTCAGGAATCTTGTACACAACACTTCCAGGTGCAACCACTGTCGTGGTGGTTGTAGGAATCGGACCATGGTGTTTCTTGAGTAGTGAAACACGAAAGGTATGATGAATGCTAGATCCTTATGGTAGTTTAAGTGTTTGCGCGCCTATCCCACTTTAGCACGAATCTAATAAGGGCCAAAGTACTTGGTTGATAACTCTATATTTTCCCTAGCCACAACTGAAGTTTGTCTATACGGGTACAGCTTGAGATAGACCCAATCCCTTACTTCAAATGTTCTTTCAGATCGATGTTTGTCAGCAACTTGCTTCATTCTATTTTGTGCCTTGTGCAGATTATGCTTTAGTAGCTTAATAGCCTCTTCTCTTGCTGATAAGCTCCTATCCACCAAATCCACATTGCTTTCCCCCGGTAAATATGGCAAATGTAAAGGGGTGCCTACCGTAGACCACCTCAAACAGGGTACAGTTGATGGACAAATGAGAACTGGTATTATACCAATACTCTGCTAAGGGAAACAACTGTGCCCACTCCTTATGTGCATTGTGACACATACACCGTGGTAACCTTCCAAACACTTGTTTAAGACTTAAATTGGCCGTCGGGTTGCGGATGATAGTTGTTAGACATATTTTGATCGATGCCCTATAACACTAGTAATTCTTGCCAAAAATGGCTAACAAAAATCTTCTCTACCTGAGACTATGGATTTAGGAAATCCATGTAACTTTGTAAATGTTGTTCATAAACACTCGCGCCACATCTATCGCAGAAAAAGGATGACTTAAAGCGACAAGTCCATGCTTAAGTTTGGCACTTTTGTCTCTTCCATTCCTGACACTCTTCCTCTCATTACTCTTCCACTAAAACTCATCTTGAAGGAACTCCATCGAGTTCAGGATGCAAATATAAAAGTAAAAAGACATTGTCAGCGCTCCTCTTCAGTTTCTGTCTTCGACTTTGCTGAAGGTTCTTTGGTGTAAATTTTGTCTTCTTGAAATATAACAGTAACCGAATAGTTACAACATATGTCCAGCGATCACTCAACAGACTCAATGATGATCGTTGAAACTGAAAAAACAAAAACGTTATACTTCGACAGGTAAAAGGGATTATCATCAAATCAATGAGAGAAAATCAACAAGGTCCCCCTATTTGATGATGACAAAGTAACATAAAGAAAATTGACTAAAATACAATAGTAAGAAAAAGTTACAACTAAGGTACAAGTCCCTTTTAACTATTTTGGGATATTTTCCAACGATACAATTTTCTTATATAAGCTCTCTTTAGTTCTAAAGGATTATAAGTTTAAGAGAAATAAGTACAAGTGTGATAATTGAAACTGAAAGCATATTCACTGACTGAAAGTCGTTAGTGAATGTAAAAGTAAATTGGAACTCATAGATACATGTCCCTATTACTCTTTTCAGGGATCTTTTTCAGTGATACTAGAGAAATACTTATATTATTCATTGGAAATATATAAGTGCTATATTAACAAGTTACAGACTTATTACATATAAGTTGTACACTAAAAGAATAGATAAGCAAAACAAGATTTACAAGATAGAAAGTTTTAACTATTCCAAGTCGCTGAAGTCGCTGAAGTCGATGTATCAAGGTACTTATTTTCCACGCTTCTTTCGACGTAGATATTCCTTTCTGATACTGTGGTCCATCGTCTCACCATTTAGGTTAGTGTCCAACCAAGATATTAGAAATTCAAGGTGTTCTATTGGACAGAGACGAAACTCATATACTATTTGAAAGTTGTACTCACCATCACAGTAAATAAATATAAATCCATACTCAGGCTTGAAATACACAATGTTGGATGCATAAGGACCTTTCGCTGGCAAAGAGAGATTCAACATAGAGATATCTGGCTTTTTCGAGTTATTTAGAACATGAAGGTTTTCTTCTTCTTCCTGGCATCAATGCTGGCACTGAAGGAACAACAACATACCTGAACATCTTCTTGATAAGATCGTGAGAATGTCTTCGATAATCTGCTTGTGCCTTGACTTCGAGCGCTGGATGGATTGACATATTTCCAGCCATCTACCATAGCCATATTGAACAAGGAAAAAAGGATATTCAGTGACTTCATCAAAGTTGTCTTTGGTGATGACCATGGAGATAAGCATTCCCCTATCTTTCATCCTTCCACTAATTGTGACGTTTGAAATGCGATGGGGACTTATTCTTTTCTTTACACGATATTCGCTCCAGCGCTCTCTGATGTTCACTTTCAGCTTGTGAGAACAGTTGAGCCTGAGCCCTAACAAGGTTCATATTCTCCGACTTTCCTTTGGAAAGAACTTTAACAACAAATGACTTGGCCAGCTTGAGACTATCTTCAGTCTATTGACGTTGAATGCAAAGTTCTTCTTCGGGCTTCAGTGCTTCCTTTATTTCAACATCTGTGAGGAAGTCCAACTCGCCACAACCAGAGGTACGAAGAGGAATTTTTACTCTAGTTTGGTCGAGGTGCTCCCTTAACTGAGTCATTTGTTGGTCAAGCTCCAGATTCTCACAAATATTAAATCTTATTTATTTTTCCAAAACCAAAATCTTAAATTTCACTGCATGTTTTTTTACAACACATGTTCACCAACTTGTTTGCTGCATCGGAGGAGAGGTAGTGGATTTACAAATTATTTGGGTTTTTAAAGGTGACGACGTGCCAAAGAAGGAAATGGTCTTACAATGAAAATGTTATGAGGACGCATGAATTCGGTGGTGTTCATCGACTATAGGTTCAAGATGAAGATGAAAGAAGGTGAAGGGTAAAAGGGGAATAAAAAGGTTAATAACACTGGTTTTTTATTTGACCAAATAAGCCGTGACCGAACACCTATTTATGGTCGGGCGAATAAGCAGGAGCGGAACACGAGATTTATAACCGAGGGGGCCAAAACTAACCTTTTTTATAAACATGTCATGTAAATAGGTAGTGTTATATATGGATTTTTTAACAAAATTTTGTATATTAAAAAGTAGGGTAAAGGCGACCAAAATAATATTTCAAAGTAAACACTTTTAGGATCACAACTTCTTTGTGTTTTACATACGTGATATATATATATATATATCTATATATATACTTGGGATCATGTGAGACCAGCCTGTTTTCGTGAGACCCGTGAGACCAGCCTGTTTTCGTGAGACCCGTGAGACCAATATTTTACACTTGAAACTTCACAGCAAAATGCTGTGAAGGTGACTTTTTAAAACCTTCACAGTGTTTTTGCTGTGAAGGTTCGACCTTTTTTAAACCTTCACAGTGTTTTTGCTGTGAATGTTACGTGTAAAAATGTGGTCTCACGGGTCTCACGAAAACAGGCTGGTCTCACGTGAACCCAACCCTATATATATATATATATATATAATTTGAAATTTTCATGGCGTCATTCCACTACAAAAAATTTGGCTTTACACAACATCATACATTATAGATCTTAGTTTTATAGAACCAAAATATAAAGATTTATATATAAAACTATTACAATAGGTTTATAGAACGTTTTTAGGCATTTTAATAAATTCTTTAGGACGCTTTAAGATAAAGTGTCCTATTAGCTATTTTATCGGACATATTTTAGAAGTGTCTTATAAACTCATCTTTTTATAGAACATTTGTGTTTACATAACACTTTTTCAAATAATGTCATATAAAATAGTTAACATTACACTTTATTATAAAACCGTCATTAAAAACTTGTTACAATGCATAAAAACGTTATATGAACCTATTGTAACATTTTTACATATAACACTTTTTGGTTTGTTCCTGTAAACTTAAGTCATATAATATATTTTTTAGGACGCTTCTACATTTTAGGTGTCCTATAAAATTAATTTAGTTATAGTGATTATAATAAGAAAACTGATGTACTGTTTTGATATTCTTAAATTGAATCTTCCTTAAAAGTGATTGTTCGTTTACTAAAATCAGTTACACTGTTTTAATCTTGTATTCTGATCAAGCTCAATAACATATTTTATGGAATTTGATCTCAATCCGTTAATACATACTCTTTCTAACTCATGAATTAACACGTTTTTAAAATAAAGTGTCATGTTAATTAACACGTTTTTAAAATAAAGTGTCATGTTAATTAACACGTTTTTTAAAATAAAGTGTCTTCTTATAGGACACTTTTGAGAATTGTCTTATAAAACCATCTATTTATAGGACATTTGTGTTTATATAACATATTTTCAAATAACGTTTTATAAAATAGTTAATACAACACTTTACAAAATGCATAAAACGCCTAAAAATGCCTAAATGCAAAAAAAAAACATCTTACTAAACCTATTGCAACAGTTTTAGATAGAACGTTTTTTGGTTTGATCATATAATTATCGCAAGTCCTATAAAGTATTTTTCTAGAATGCTTCTATATTTTAGGCGTCCTATAAAATTATTATTTAATTTATAACTCTTGATCTTTTATATCGGTTGTTTTGATAGGTATGAAAAACTCATTTTGAAAAAACAAAACAAAACAAAACTTGGGTTCTCATTTTAAATACCAAGAGTGAAGGGGCCAAATTTCAAATTTTTATAAAACTTGTAGTACTATGCACAATATTATATTAAAAATCAAAATAGGGGGAGGGGGAGGGCCCCCATAGCCCCTTAGGGGATCCGCCTATGAGAATAAGCCATACCGGCTATACAGTCGATTAAGCCACAACCGAACAACCCTTTAGCCTTTTTTGTATGCTTTCATTTTGAATTTTTTCGTTTAAACACAATCGTTTAACTAGATTGAAAAATGATGTAACAAAGTTTCAACGTGACCAACCAAACCGTACGCTTTGAGTTAGGTTGTTGTTTTGATTGGGTTAGGTTGATATTCTTTTAAACCGCAAACATGGGTTATTTAAATGTTTTCGACCCGGACAAACTTGACTGGGGTGTAGCCCTAATTATGATAATACAAGTACAAACCAAATATGCAGTAAAAAAAAAGGAGCACGATTCACCAAGCAGGGATGGACCCAAGAATTTTTGGATACGGTGCCACCATATAAAACGGTTGCACCTTCTAGAATAAAACGGTTGCACCTTTTACGAACCTAATTTTTTCTACCTTACCATGGAGGAACAATATGGTGGCACGTGCCAACTAACCACCCCTCTAGGTCCGTCTATGCAAGGTCTATCACTTTTCCAAGCGTTTAGAAGAAAAATCTTCACGCTCGCCTTACCATCTCTTGCCAACGACTTTTTGGTTATTTTCACAACCGCATTACAATGTTCATGACATCGAAAGTTCATTTGAATGTCATAAGTTCAAGTTCCATTGTTTCCAGATTCTGGAAACAATAAAAAATACAACTATATTGTTCATAACTTTTGAATCGCATTCGCTAACTAAATCAAACCAGCCCAGCAAATCCCACAATAGATAAGGTTCGAGTTTAATATCCATCACCTATAAATTCTAAAAGTGTGACGGATAATATGATTGTCCAGCTCCAAGAAAACCGACACCATAACTATCTCCAAAGAACGGAAAAGAACGTTGAGGAACTAGTGATTCCGGGAATTCAAACTTCCCACATGAATAATTTCTTTACCTGTCATGTAGATCAAAAACAATGGTCGATGTTACTTGACAAAAAAGTTACGCTAAAAAATGAAGGTTTGACTTTGACCTATACATTTCTAAGATATGCATGGAGAGATGATACCGAGACGGTTTTTTTCTAGATAAGTCCAAAAGTTGCTCTTAAAACCAAATGAAACCAACAAGGCCAGTATACCTCACATGGCAGTGGGATGTACGCAGATCTTACCTCTACTCCAAAGAGTAGAGTAGTTGTTTCTGTGAAAGCCACACACACATATTTCACGTGTTTTGGAGCGAATGGACATCTGTTTATATCTAGTTGCAGCAGTTACGTTCGTAACATCCTAATAAGTATTGTAAAAGAAGAAAAATGCACAAATCGGAATCTTACTTGCTCAAGAGTTAAGAACATTATAACGTTCCAGGATCCTAGCCGACCAAAATTTGGAAGGAATCCCTTGTAGAAAGCGAGGGCTCCCTGCAAAGCAGAATAATCACATCACCGTGTTATCTTCTTGATCGTGTTTGCAGTCGATAGTATAACAGAAATAAGTTGGCAACCAAAGGGTTAAACAATCATCTAATAATCGAAAAAAATGAGTATAAGCATACCTCAACTCTCAAGGTTTTAACCATACAATCAACAGTGCTTTTGTAGATTGAATCTCCCATCATTCTAGACTTCACCTGGAAACAACGGAAATAGCAACCAACAATTTGACTTCCTTCTAAAAAACGTGAAATGGTGCGCACATTGAAACACTTGCTACCTCCAGGATCAAAACAGTTGCATAATTTCATAGAGGAAAATGGAAAATGCAACAAGGTTTAGTTTGGTTCCTATTTAGTGTAACGAACAATATTTTTGTCAATCGATGTAAGGGAGTTCCAAAATTTCCTATTTTGTACCCATTTTGACCGATATCCTACTGATCTTGTAACGTTTGATGATGTGGATACCTGCTTATGGAATTTCTACAAAAAGTCTATGGTGAAGTAGACGATAAACTTGACATTCCGCTTCATCAAATGTTAAAAAATTAGCGAGCTATTAATCAAAATGGGCAAAAAAATAAGAAATTTTGAAACTTTATTACGTTAAATAGGAAATTTTGAAGGGAAAACGTTCTTGGTTACATTAAATGGGAACCAAGACAAACTTAGTTTTTGCCCTAATTTCATATAAATCTAACATCAACACTATGAGGTGTAGTGTCCGTTACTGAAGTAAAATAGCTATCATTTTTTTTTTCTGAAAGGTTCAGAGAAAGAATATCAACCATAGAGTTTAAAATTCGGTGTTCTTAAGCATAAAAATCAAACTCCAACTACACGAAGTTTGTATCCATGCCTTGGACAGATCTAAAACAATCTGAATTATGAAGGGCCAAATTGCATAAAAATGCAACATACTTTGGTATGATTCCTATTTTCGGTCGTGTTCTTTCAAAACCTTCAATGTCTCAAACATTTTGAACCAATTATAGAAAATAGGAATCGGACCAAAGAATGTTGCATTTCCATGCATTTTTAGATGTAAATCAGGAATCTAAATGTTTGAGATGTCACATCTGAGGTGCGAAAGTGAAGTTTTCAGACCAACGTATATTGCATTGTCATGCAATTTGCCTGTAATGAAGCTATGAAGCGATTTTGCACAAACCCAATGAGTTTACCACATCAACAGGTGAACCAATCAACACCGCAAAGAATCCTGCACCTAAACCGGCTAGTAGATGAGTTAATATATTGTCCGTGAACCCTGGAATTTTCAAAATGCTCTACACGAAGAACCAAAAACAAGAATATGATGAGTAAGTTGTAGAACCAGCAATGAATACAAACAAATTAATTAAAACACTTGAGATAACTCGGACCTGTTTCACTTGATCATAGCTAGCGAGTTCTGCTGCATTAATAATAGCATTTCTAGCGATATTTGGGCCCAGACCAGTCCAGAGAGCCACTAGTCCTTCCTGTTTATAGAACATAAATACAAGAACTGGATGTGGGAAATAATATGCTGAACCCGTCTAGCTCTGAAGATAACAGCCAGGAAAATTTCCCAAATATATATGAAAGGAACATACCTCCTTCAATATGGTGTAGTAGGCATTTAGAGCACCAGAGTAGCGTCGGGGTGCGCCATGTGGTAATTTACCTTCCGCTTGAAGCCGAACTTTCACTAGATCGGTTGGATTAGCCAACGAAATCGCTATAGCACCTGTTGATGAGAAAGATGTTGGCTTAACAAACCTTTAGCTTTAGGTGGTCAAAGTCATAAATAAATTCCGGCATAGAGTCATAATGTAAATGATCGATTTTGTTTCGTTGTATCTCTCCATCCCAAAATAAATGTCCACTATAAAAGAGCACACTGTTTTTAAATGTGATTACTACAATTTATAATCAACCAAATGACAAGTTTACCCTTAATAATAGATGAAGTAATAAAAATCTCCATCTCATAACTAACGTAGAACCGGAAAGTAGGCACTTCCTTTTGAATGACACTTATTCTGGGACAAACTAAAATAGAATTGTACACTTACTTTGGGACAAAGGGAGTAAAAAAGTTACTAGTAGGGGTACAGTTTGACCTTTAGGATCTCATGGGATTAGTCGAGATGCAGGCAAGCTAGCTCAGACACCCACGGTTACCAAAAAAAATCATCACCTGTAATCAAAGCAGCAACTATCTTCTGGAATAATGAAATGTCTGCAAGAATGATACTGCCCGCACAAAAAGCCTTGACCTGTATAATGAAAATCTCAGATGTAATACACTAATGGTTCTTGAGCCGTACCGGATCAGTCCTCAAGAGTGTAGCTTATATGCCGGTTCAATGAATCACCGAACTAAACTGACCCAGTAAATCCCACTCGAAAAAACCTCCATATAACCTAAAAACCCACATGGGATATTGATACTTACAGGCTCATAAAGACTGATCCTTAAGCCTCCATATATAAATTGGCGATGTAATCCAGGTATAATACCTTTCCAAAGTGCAAGTAAACCTTCTTCTTTGGCTATAGTGGCAACGGTACCTAAAAGACCCTTGTACTTAGATGCACCACCTTCTCCCAATACCGCTCTTTTTTGAAGTTGAAGCCGAACTTTGGCAGTGTCTAGAGGAATTGTACATATCTGCACAAAAGAGGCAACACTCGTAGAAATTACAGCATTTACTTAATCAACCATTGACAACATTTGACAAAACCCTTTGTGGTAGCTCAACCATTAAGCACTTGGGTTTGCTCTCTGGTGGTCACTAGTTCGAGTCCCATCAGGGCCACTAGAGGTTTTCCTGGTTGTTAACGTCAGGAGCCCCATGGGATTACTCGAGGTGTGTACAAGCTATCCTGGACACCCATGGTTATCAAGAAAAACATTTGACAAGTTCTATGTTTTCAGGTGACGAATGCAATGCAGCCCAGATGGAATTACTCAAGTGGTTGCGACTTATTCAAGAAATGCCTAGTGAATTACCAGGAGTAAGACGATGGCATGCACAAAAGTTTCAACCCCTCGAGTGAGGTTTTGGGGTCTTTAGCGTAGATCACCAATGGCATATCTAGGTTTTTCAGCATGGTATGCATTAGTCTACCGAACCCAAAAACCAAACCAAACAGACCGAGTAAATCCCACTTGAAAGAAGGGTGTTTATGGTGAGATGTACCCACACCTAACCTCTACCCCAAAAAGTATAACGGTTGTTTCCGTGATGACATGTGAGCAAACGAACTACTAGTCTACCAAAACGACAAAAAAATTGGGATGCATTTCAAAAACAATTGTTTTCCTTTTTACACTACAAAAAATACAACTTTTTTGGTATGCACATGCATACCCCTTTGGCCATGTAGATCTGCCCATGTTAGCTCACATTACCATATCGCTGAAAATTTTATTCATCGTGGCCTGCAAATGTCTACACGAAAACCTCTCTTTACTGTTTGGGATAGAAGCAAAGATCTACATAAATCTTACCCCCAAATTGGTTAGCCTGCAAATGTTCAAGTTTTGCTTATCTATCATGCAATGTGGATCAAATTAGTACTCCCATCGTCCCCAATAAAACAAAACAAGTCCCTTTCAAACTAGTACGTGTTTTCTTACAAACTTAACACCGACAATCTACTCGTAGTATTTGATTAAACCCCAAGATCAACCTGTTTGATGTAATAAAGAAGAATTTCCTTATATCATTGGAAAATAACTCCAGGAAGATCAAATTGCAAAATTCATTTCAGTAGATGCATATAATTAACACAAAACATACACTTAATTGGTTTCTGCAAAAGATTTCCAGAACCTTCACCATGCCAAATTATGACTCAACTTCAAAACAAATCAATGATGGTTATTATAATCTTATCACATTCATCAAACTCAAATAAGATCAATAGTATCATAATCACACACACATATATACATACAAAAAGCAAATGCTGAAATCTGTATTGTGAAACAATACAGATTCAACAATTAGGCAGGTCCTGCTCAAAGCACCAAACTTTGAGCCCAAAATCTGCAAATCCCAAAAATGGATTTCCCAAATGTAGTAGTAATAATATATTGAAATTAGAGGGAAAATAATAAGAAATGAAGATGAACCTCGGCAAAACAAGCGGCGAAGGCGCTGCTAATGAAGGTTCCGGCAAAGGAGATCTCAGTGCGATGGCTGAGATCCGCCATAATTGGTACGATAAAAGTGAAGCTTGGCTTGGATGTGGGTATGGTTGAATTGAGAAGAAGTGGTTCTCAGGTCCTTCATTTATTGTAGATTGATATAGTAGCGGTGGTGGTGGTTGTCGTCGTTCACAAATCACAACTGTGGAAGTGTACTTGCATTCAAGTATTTATTGTTTGAGTATTTTGATCGGAATGTATTCGGTATTTCCCTTTTGAATCTATTTGCTTTTTTTTAGGGATTTGATTTTGTGTTTAATTGCAAATGTTTCATCAGGATCCCGATCCACAATCTGAGGGCATCGATCTCACGTTTTGTTCACCTTTTGACTTGATTGTAGTTTTTCTATTCTCCATTTTTTGTTTTAGAAAATAATACTTTATGATTGTTACTTTTATATATTTAAGGTTTTTTTTGGTGTTCAGATAAGACAAAACATGATAGGATATGGTAAAACAATTGTTCAACATTTGGTAAGATAAAACTGGATAGAACAAAACAAGTAAAATAACTAATTTACCCATGATGAGTTGTTTATTTTAATTAATTTATTAAATTATAATAGAATCATTATTTTTTATAACAAAAATATATCATTCGAAATTTTCGTAAGAACACTTAAAATGACACCAAATAAAAAATTTATGTATTTTCTATTTTTTTTATATCTCTTTTCTACATTATTTTTTATTATTAATATATAATAATTATATAAAATAATAAAAATATAGAAACCGTATAAAAATAATATTTTGTTGACAGTAAAATAAAAGTTTAAGAAACATAAAATACAATAAATAAAATTTAAAGAATGAATAAAATGTAAAAAAGAGACATGTTTGATGTTTTAGAAGAAAAATCAAGTTTTATTTTGAGGTTACATCCGAAAAATATAAGTTTGTTTCATCTCGTTCCACCATGTTCCAGGGGGTAAGGGCAGAACATACCTGTTCCACTTTGTTCCACTATATTCATGTCTGTTCCACATAAAATTCATGCTAAACATGAGACAAAGATCCATGTCATGTTCTGTCATGTCCCTGTCCAGTGTATCAAACGCATCCTTAAGGAGTGCTCACAAAAACCAACCGGACCTACCTAACTTGAATAAACTCAAAAAATTCAATTTATAAGTAATATAATACATGGTTGATATACAATTTGGCCAAAATGCATCCATTGGCTTAGGGTTATTTGAACTCAACCCGATAAATCCGATACCGTTTACAAGATACATGGGGTACAATAGTGACAATGTTTTTATATTGCATAGAACTTTGTACAGACGTCAATAATTGAATATACTATAATATAATGATAAAATGTCATCTATGTAAACAATAATAAAATTACTGTAGGGATAAAAAATGTCATTCATAATCTGTTGAAATTCAGAAGGAGCATTTTTTAGACCGAAAGGCATAACTTTCCATTCATAATGTCCCATAGGAACATTAAAAGCCGTTTTATAAATATCATTTTTGGCTATCTGAATTTGCCAATATCCAGATTTTAAATCAAATTTTGAAAAAATAAGGGCTTGGAAAAGGCGATCAAGAAGATCCTTCTTGTTAGGAATAGGGTGTCTAATCCATTTTAAGACCTAGTCCTATGGATGTTCTTCATGAAGAACAGGAGTACATTATTAATAATAGTTATAATGGTAAATGTATTTATGAATGGAACCTTGATGGGTTTGCTGATAAGCATATTTATAATATGGCACATCGCATGTTCATGTATAGTACAGTTTGCAAGAACACAGGCAATAATGATAAGAGTATTGCCAAAATGATAACTAGATCGTATGTGTCCAAACTCCTCTTCTATTGAAGGAGCTGATCTTTATGATGCCATCGTCAAGAAAATTCAAATTTATAAGAAAGACTTCGAAGATCGCCAACAGACCACTACCAGTTCGGATATTCCGAGTCCCTTCCAACAACTCTCTCAGAAATATGCTGGTACTTTATCCAAGGACGAGATAGTTGATCTTAGGCTCAACTCTGGGAATGGTCCAATGATCAAGAAGATCAAGATGTTGAGGAATATCATATTCCTCCGTCATACTGTTATGAACAGTATCATCACTTCCAGATTTAAACAGATTCATAAGAATCGTAAAACTGGGAAGGACAGAGTTAAAACAGAGTTTGAAACGATATAGAAATACAAAAACATGGCTCTGATACCATCTATGTCCCAAAATCTAATGAAAACAATCTAAGCGACTAAACTTGCCTCAAATCTCAAACCAAGGTTATAAATACCCTAAACGGCACTCTTGGCCTCAGCGGGTGACAACCAGTCTCAGAGATCTCAGAGGTAGACTCAGCTGTTTAGAAGATTTTTACTAAATCTTTAAACATATAAACCATTCCATGTAAATCTATTGAAATATCAGATCAAAAATTGTTTTAACTCATAGTCCTAAATTAGAAATATTCCTAGACAACCGATTGTCCAAAGTGATTTTAGTAATATCACGCAGACAGATGAGGGAACTGTCTATATCCAATTCGATGATCCTCGCAATATTCCATATACAGAAACCAGACCTCTTTTAAGGTCTCAATCTTTATCTCATGGCATTCATAGCTTTATTTCTCCTTTTGGGGCTAAAGCTAGCCAKCCATCTTTAGTCCAGCCTTCTAGGGCTTCAACCTCATATTTACGTGATACTCAAGCTCAATCTTCTGAGCCAGAAGAGCATATTGAATCCTCTTCTCAGCAACCTTTTGATGAACTTAGAGTTCATAAAAATGGTATTGTTCATAACAATCCAGTTGCTCAAGTAAGTAACAGACAACCTCATAGGGTGGTAGAGACCATGTCTGATTTTAATCTATAATTTTTTTTAATGATTTTTTCTTCTTCTAGGAGTTGGGTCACTAGTGAGGGAAAAATAGATTTCACTCATGGTTCTCCTGCTAGACAGCTTGTCTGCAATGATTATTATGGTAATCCAAAATGGGCTCCTTTTAGGATCTGGTATGTTGAAAACTTTTCAAAGGATGAAATTGCTAATTTCTCTGCAGAATTTTATGCCTTCTGCACTAAGGAGAATGAAACTTTCTCTTTTATTCCCTGGTTTTTCCATACTCATGTAAAACATTTTATAAATGTTCTTCAAAGGGATTACCAACTCCTTAATGGGGATATTAAATCCACTATTTATCCTCCTCAGTCTCCTTTTCTTATGAAAAGCAATAATTMTTTCTTCCGATTCTCTGCTTTTTCCAATCTTATAAAAGATAATACTCTTACTGTTACTTCGTTACATATTAACGAACTTCTTGAAAAACAGAATTACTCTAATCTTTTGTTAAAAATTATTGGAGAACAACTTTTTTCCATTGAGGATAATATTTCCTTAATTTTAAAAAAAGTCTCTCAAATTGAGACAAA